ACATATATTACTCTGCAGTAAATAAATGAAGAAAACAATAACTGAATGAGTTTCAGACATACGTTTTTTTTTACTTACTTCGTTTCATCTTTCGGAAAATGATGATAAACCAGCCGTACACAGCACAATTCACGACCATTATGAATAGTGACATAAAATAATGTTTTATATTAACTTACAAGTTTCGTAATTAATAAATGAAAACTATATTCAAATGTCAAAGCCGTCTTCGCGCTAAAACGGCTCGCCGGCAGCCTTGTTGTCGTTCAGTCAATGTGACCGGCAATGTGCGGGGCGTGATGCGGTATCTAAAACTAGGGAGGGGCGGAGAGTGTCCTTTCTCTTAGTCTTTATTCTCTGGCTATAGTATGGATCATAATTAGGTGCCAAAATGTAAACAAAGGGGACAACCAAGCAAAAAAATGCATTTTCCACCTTACTAGCTCGGAAAGGCTTTCTTTCTCATTAGAAATCTGCGCGCAAAAGCTTTTTCACGCTAGCGTGAAATTGGAACTTGACGATGGACTGTGCTGCCGTCCACTAACTAAAACGTGGCTAAGTGAAAAATGGTCAAATATCCGTTTTGAATAGCAAAAGATAGAGCACAAAAGTCTCTTTTAAAAACAGTTAAAATTAGCTCAGCTCTAGCTGACATCGTGTTCGCCGATTGGTACCACAAGTTTGGTACCAAGTTTAATTTAAAGGTATGTTGGCATTGCGTTTTATTTTCAAGGGTATTGATGGATTCATAACCATCTGTAATTTTTATTTACTTTAACACACGCCCCGTGTATGGACGCATATTCTGCCGTCCACTAATTAAACCGCGGCGAAGTGACAAATGGTCAAATATCCTTTTCAAATAGAAAAAGATAGAACACAAAATTCTCTTTTAAATACAGTCATTACTTATCGTATTCGACTTATCGGAACTTGCCCTAACGATGCATAGCTGAAATATCATTAAACAATTTCAATATTCTAAAACTGGGTTATGGTATTTTACGATATCTCAAAAAAATATTTTGTCACTTGATGAAAAAAAACATAATGACACGTTCAACTACGCGATTTGTCGTACATTATTTATGTAATATAAATCAGTTGGAATATTTTTTGTTCACATTAAATTGACAAATTTTTATAGTTCAATTGTTTCTCTTTCATCTACCATTTTCCTCGATATAGTGAGGTGAAAAGTTGTGTAGCTCGCTCGGTAGCAACGTCGTTTTGCGTCTCGTGTCTTCAAACCCATGTTACGCTCAGGATTTTAATTTTGAACCACTACGCTCAATACTCGCGTCAAAAAACAACTTTGTAGCCTTGCCTAACAAGTAACTATTAAATGGTAGTTTCATATTTTTGACAATAATAAGTCTCGAACTAACTCTTTTCAAATTGTAATCTGATAAAACTTAGAACAATTAACATTTTGCAATATATATTTTTAGTTAATTTCATTGTATACAATGATTACATTAAAAGATTATTTTTAAGGTCGTAATTAATTTTGTGACACTGGTAACACAATCGGGATTAAAATTGTTTTTTAAGCCGCCATTTTGGTCATGCCATAGATGTAATTCGTGATTCGTTTCTCGAACACAAAACCCGCTTACATTCACGATTATAAACTTCTTTTTCATAAATAAAATCATTTATTTTAAGAAATCGAATCGGATACGCATTAGGACATCACTAATTGATTAGAATTCGCTGTCAAAAGTAAAATAAATAGTTTGACGGATGAGACCAGGCATGTGTGGTTGCGTGCCATATTATTATTATACGTTATTATTATTTTATCTTAGGACGGGTGCAGTAGTAGTGCCCTTCAGCTCTTTGCTATTTAAAAATGGGCGGCGCTTTATACCATAAAAAATCACCCACTCAAACCCAGGGCGTTGATCGCCCGAAACAATATCTAAAATCAGACGCATACAAACTTCAACAAAGCTTTTGCATATCTTCAACAGAGCTTATACTTTAATTTACATTTATTAGTTATTAAGAATCCATATTAAAATTTCCTGTATTATTGTATACACTTGACAGGGCTTTTCCCATCTGATCCCAAGAACTAATCCACCGCCAATTTTAAATTGCAACTGATCCCCTCTATATTTTGCAACTCCCTACGGATCGCCTTATGGTATTTGTAAGGTTGTACTTATCTTACAAATACAATAAGTCAAGAGAAAAAAAGTTTTCAAATCAAAGTTAACACAGTTATATAAGGTTGTATACCTTAGTGGTTAGTGGTTAGTAGGTTAGTGATATTCATTTCTAATAAACTAAATAAAATACAGAACAACCCTCCAACACATTTTCTTGTTGACTGTACCACAGTACCTACCAAAAATAAACTTGTAAGTACCAGGGCATCAGGTGGGAAAAAAATATAATAATTTATTATTTATGCCCCGCACGGGGATCCGATGGGAATAGAAAACAATTTAAAATAAAACGGTTCCCCCAAGGGATCGGTTGTAGGGGATCCGATGGGAATAAGCCACTTGACATTGTTAGTTTAATTGAATTGGGTTTCATTAGTAATAATAATATATTTTTATTTTCCCTCACATCGCTATGTACCTAATAGTAACAGTATAGAGTTTCAATATTCAATTTTGTGAGAGACATGAGCCTAAACTAGGATACCCTGTGTCTTAGGTCTCCTGGTCCTCCCATCTTGATTGTACAGATTATTTACTCTACTTAAAATGTAGTTAAATTACATTATAACCTTGATTTCCATGTGTACACTATTGTCTACTATGACTTACCATTATATACTCCACGACACATCATTCGAGCCACCTCGCATTTTTGTCGTTAAGTGCTAGAATACGAAAATAGTGTTATCATCGAAGAAAAGTTTTCCCTTCGTTTTGTAAATCCAAATTCCCAACAAGGACTTATGGAAAAGACGTTTAGTATACTAGTTTCAAAATTGCATAATAGTTTTTACTAATCAAACATTGTTTAAGCTTAGGGCATTTAATACTGAAAATGCGTGGTGACTCGAATTATGTGTCCGGAAGTGTATAATTATTATTCTCATTATTTTGTAAACTGACGATCACTTTTCGAAGAGTAGTACAAAAAGTGACATGTTGTAACTATATATGTATGAAATTTGTAATGTATACATAAACTAGACTATCCCAAATTTCTATCCTAATGTTGCCTGGAATAAATAGCAATAAGGCCGCCTGTTGCACATTAAGTTTACGTGTAATAAAGAATATTCCGTTCATTCATTCTTTTAGTTTACCTGAAGGAATTGTCGAAATAGAACAATCCCTTTTCTGGCCGGACTCGCAAAAAAGCAGCAACGTCAGTGTAGTTTGGAAGAGTGGCCGATAGCCCTATTAGACGGACCTACGGAAAAAAAATTTGTTAATTTGCTCACGCGCTTATAAATTGGCGCCTCTCGTCATGGTAGACACAGTCCAAGTTAATACTTTATCAAGGTAACACATACAGAAACAAAAGCGAGCCCTGCAGCCCCTAACTCTACTTCCCGTGGTAGAAAAATTCTGTGGCGCTTATGAAAATGGATACAGTCAAAAAAGCAAACTTTCAAAGGAAACGCGAAAAACATTTAACGGTTAATACCATATTAACTGTTTTTTGCATCGCCTTGTACAGTTGGGTTTTTTTACTTGTACCCTTTATCACTAGAGCCACAGTATATAGGTCTTTCACTCATTTTTGAACCACATAGGTGCGAGCGCGCACATCTTCCATGTTCTCAGTACCAAAGCTACTGTAAAACATGCGTTTAAACGCATAACCTTGAACGTGTCGGTATGTCTTACCTCCTCCTGCGTCTGCTCTACGGTCCTGAGTGTCCTGGCTACCAGTGCCTCCAAGACAGGCCCTCTTTCGTCGTGAAGGAGGTGGATCTCGTCGATAATGATGAGACGGACTAGGTTCGTGAATGACCGCTCGCCACCTAGGGAGGCAACACGTTTAATTTATTATTGATCACCAGCGAAGAACCGACTGTCCACGTTATGAAAAGTGTGTAGGGAAAATTGAGCAATAATGTAAGTTCGAAGTTTGTGAAATACGACGTACGTGCGTCCTCTATTACATTTACGAGAGTGGTTTAATAAGTCCGTGACATTGAAAAGAAAAGAAAAATTTTATTAAAGGCTGTAATTGCGAGAATTAATAAAATATGGTCTATGATATAATTTATTTTGATTTTAAATAAGGTTCACGAATATACACTTAAAAAAAGTAATTTGTAGGAATCTTTTTCTTGTTTTGTTCGCGAAAATGAGTTCTAGTGAGAAAAGCGAAAATACAATAGTAAGCTGTAGTGTACTCCGCCAAATTTAGAACAAGAAGCAAAATTAGTGAAATTAGTGAAGATTATAAAATCTTGTTTTACTTTTTAACCGACTTCAAAAAAGGAGGAGGTTCTCAATTCGACTGTAGGTTTTTTTTTTGTATGTATGTTACGCGATAACGCCGGTATTTGTGAACCGATTTTCATGATTCTTTTTTTGTTGGAAAGGGGGTACTTCCATAGTGGTCCTATTTGATTTTGAAGAAAATCATCTACCTCTAAGGTTGGCTGTTCACGCATGAAGATTCATTTCTATAAATAGCGCCTAACTTTAATTTAGGAGCAATTATTTTAATGGTTGATTTTGCTATTTCTCCAATTCAAGGCGTTTTTCTCTCAATATACTTTGAGTATATACTTTGACAACCGATTTTTATTATCTCCTGTGTCAAGTCCTGTGTAGTGGCGAACTAAACATCCCCATATTTCAATAAAACTTGGCAAATAAATGTAATTCCACGTACTTTTGAGGTCGGTTTTTTTTAGTACTCTGTACTAAGATTAATCTATTGTACGTTTACGCAGCAGTGGAGTTCCTTGTGATTTTCGTCCAGGGAAGTACTGCCACCTTACCAATTCGGTAGAAATATGTGAGCATTACTGCGTCCCGGTTTCGAGGGCGTAAGGGCGTTGGTGAAATTACAGACACATGGGACTTTTGTTGTGTCTCAGACTGACGGGCGCAGTAACAGATCTCTGCGATTTCGAGCTCTGAGTGGCACTGCAACTATTACGGACAGGCATGTAACTTACCATCAAGCGCACGTCTTGTTCGTCCCGTCACTTGATATTACAATAAAAAAAAATATCCTTCATTTTTTAAGGATTTATTATTTCCTCGCAATATTTGAAAAAAAAACACTATATATACCTCGGCGGGATCGGGGATTACCTGACTCGTATAATACAAGACACTCATATTCGTCCGGCAATGCTATACTTCCCGGCTTTAACAATAATGTTGTTGTTTACTGTTTGTACAATATTCTTACCTTTTCTGGTGATAATATCCCACTTCTCTGGCGTGCAAACGATGAGCTGTGTGGCGTCAATTTGTTCTCTTGTAAGCTGATGGTCGCCTGTTAACTCCGATACCTTCATGTTGTAGCACGCTAATCGTTTACTAAAGTTTCCCACCTGACAAATTAATAATAACGTTACAGCGGAAGTCGAGGAGCGTGGCCAAGGTTCGACAGCGAGAAAAATGCGAGATGAAGGCAGGAACGTAGTTAAATTCCAGCTAGCCTCGCTAACAACATGAGGCGGTTGGGTTTAAAGTCAAATAATCTTTATTTATTACATAGGTAAGCAAATTACACTTAAAATCGTTATACTGATTAAACTCTACTGCTCGTTAGTAAGCTCGTTGTCCTTATCTACCGACCCGAGATATAGGGTTTTCCGGAGACTACGGGCTCGATGGCAAGACCAGGGTTCAGCGGGCGTCCGGGCCAAGCCCTCCGCCAGTGATACGTCTTTGTAGGCGTCTCTGGCGGACCCGGATTTGGGTATGGACTCGCTGTGGTTTGTGGTTAGCTGCAGAGACGGACATGTTTGTCTGCCCCAGTTGCATGTGGCTAGGGCGTCTGTCTCATGAGCAACTGGCGCGTCTTAGTAGCGGTCTAGTTGAGAACCTGAAGCTAGGAGACGCGCGGGACACGTGAGTTGCCCTTTAAGTTGGAAGCTACGTCCGGATATTGTCGCAGGACACTGCGACTGGTATCTCCGGCACTAGCCCGGAGAACTAGTAGAGGATAAGCTAGATATCCTCCGGTCCCTCCAGCCGCTTAGGTTATTGGGAACTGGAAAGACGTCGTTTTTCGGCGTCGGGAAGTGAGCGTGCGTTACAGCTCTGCCATCAATGAGAAGATTTGGTAGTGGACTCAAGAGTCGATGGCTTAGCGGTGGCAACCGCTACTTATGCAATGCACAACGGGAAGTGAACGTGCCTACAGGTCCGGTACCTATCTGGAAAATAGGGAGGGTACTGTACGTGCACCCGGGGTGGCTTACCCGAGGCACTAGCCTCTCGACCGGATGAAATCAAGTGACAGAGGTCTGTGACAACCATGTAGAATGGATGATTTGGGGTCAGAACCTGAACTTGTAAGGTGCCTGTGCGCGCACAGGTCATAGTGCCCTTCTCGTATGCCCTCAGGGTTGGTAGGGAGCGACACTGTAAAAACTAACGTAGAAAGATATGGTGCTGCTCATTCACGTAAAGCAGATTCCCCTGAGATGAATGAGCAAGAAACTCTAAGCGCCTAGTTACCACGCCTTCATGTACATTAATGGCGAATCTGAATTATATTTACTAGGTAACAACATTTAAATTCCTCGGAACAATACAACCGCCACGTAGATCAATGACAAGCCAGCCTCGCCCACGTGTCCGGTGCGCTCACTTAAGTTAAAACGTAAATGCTAAGTAAATAGAGCGTATTTTGCCATGACAGTTAGACGCACGCGATTCCTGCGCGGCGACAACGCTGACTCCGCTCGGAGCGCGATGAAATTCGTGTAGAATAAATGCGCCCTAAGGGTTGCTCTTTGTAAATATACATTTAAATATATTTATCTTCTTTGAAATTAATTCTTGCGTACACAAATTGTCAAACGCAACATCACGATCCCAATCAGACAATAATCTTCTTTTTCGGTCCCGGTCACATTCACGATTAAAACTTCTTCATAAATAAAATCGATAATCATAAAAAAATCGAATCGGAAATGTATTAGGACATCACTAATTGATTAGAATTCGAGCTGTCATCAGCAGGGGTAATCAGCGAGAGCCACCCACCATTTCCTGCACCAGCGAGCGCATGGGCGCGACGTAGATCATCTTGAAGTCGTGCGCGCTGACGGTGCCGTCGTCGTTGACGTGCTTGCCCACCTCGCGCAGGATGCTCAGCAGTGCCACGTTGGTCTTACCGGCGCCGGTGGGCGCGCACACCAGCAGGTTCTCGTCCGTTTCTAGCGCCGCCTTCGAGATGCGGCTCTGGAATTGATAACAGCGTTTGTCACCACTTTTCCTCAACATCAAAAAGCGGTCTAAACAAGAATTTACTAACAATAGTAGTTTAAGACACTGTTACATAATGAAAGGCTTTGAAATACGAGTGTGGGTTTCATGAAAACATCACACGACTGTTTTAATGCCTAATTATGTACAGTTACATACACTGCTTTATCTATACACGTATTACAAGGTCTATATGACGTGTTCAGGAACCGCACTTTTTATTTTTATATCATGGGCAAACTAGAGTCGGCTCCAACTACCATACCGTTCGATATCAAGTAACGTGTGAAATTTGTCAAAATTTCGTTTCGAATAAAACTTCATCTCGACTGATATTAGAGTTGAGGTCGAATCAAATTGTTTTGTTTTTCGGAGATGTTCGAAATTTGAATGTAATAATAATATCGAATTCGATGTTATTATAATGCAATAATAACATTTTCACAGATAAGAAATTTGTTCAAACAAAACAATTTATCATTATGCTGGTCGTAATTAGTGGTTTTTTAATACATCTTAAAGGTTTATAATATGTGTGTAGATAAACTAAATAACGAATTGCAATTCTCGGCGACATATAGCGCAATCTGGTGTCAGGTAACCGGCCGCGGAATCGCCGATATATAACACCCCTCGGCCAAAACTCCACCTCCTTGAAGGTCGACAGATGTTCAGTCGTTACTCGCACCACAAACGAATTAAAATTCACGTTGTTGCAGGGCTTTTAGCCTGACGTACTCCACTATCTCCTCGGAAAATTATTAACAAGAGTTTGTTAGAAGCCCGAAACCGAAGGTTGAAGGCTTTAAAGACTCGAGGTTTGTAATTTTTATCGCCCGTAATCATTGACTTACAATTATATGGACGTCGGGTCCGCGCTAAAAAGTGTCCGCACTTGTAAGGCGGACAAAAAATCGTATACAGAGCGCCAAACTCCGCTTTAGTCTTCATTTGTTCTACTGACAGCGCGATACTGCGATGACATTACAATTTAAATTTCGAATAGGTTGACTTGGGACATTTTTTTTGTGGTTTTTGTATTAGACCCGTCGCCCATTTATTTGTAAGTCAATGCCCGTAATACATACAAAATGTTTTTCATGACATTTGCAAGGAAGTAGATACAATAGTTTATTTCTTGTATGAAATATTTTTACGGCCTAAATTTATTTATCTCGTGAGTTTGGGTGTAATTTGTGGTTGTCTATGTGTGAGTCCATGGCACCCGCGACACAGGGTTTCCCTATTGCCCGGGCTGTGTTAAGTATTAGTATAAAATTAAAAATCTATTACCGCCCTCGGACGGTAACCTAATGAAAAAGACCGCAGAGGTCCACGTTTAGGACATTGCAGGTCGAGTTTGCCTGCATGTTATGACCTTGTTTACGGGTAAGTGTGATGAAATAGCACATCGTGTATTAAGTATTACGACGACTGGTTGACTCTAACCATGAAATAGGCCAGCGATATTTCAATTCTCGTATTGCCTCGCTAGTGCAAAAGCGCCTTTTGATCCCAGGGCCGGAACCAAAAAAGGTCACTTCAAACAGAAACACTATAAAGCATACCTGTATTCTATTCAATGTCTTGAACCCTTCAAAAGCCGGCTGCACGTATTTGGGCAGATCCTCGATGGGGACCAGATTCTCTCCCTCGTCAAACGCCTTGGGTTTCAAAGCAGGCACGTGGACTTCCTCGTAGCCTGAGGTCAGCGAATAAAAATACATCGGTCATCGACACACAGTCATACAATTGTAAAAACGTACAAATGTTGCAGCAGTAAAAGCTGCTTGTGAAAGAGCTCGTCCAGGCAAGTACTGCCAACTTATCTATTCCTGCCGCCAAACAGTAATGTGAGCATTACTGTAAAGAGTTAAAGGTGCTGCTGAAATTACAGGCACCTGTCAACTTACGTCTCAGGGTGACGGGCGCAGTGGCAGTGCCCCTCAGATCTTTCGATTTAAAGATCTGAGTGTTACTGCAACTGCTATGGACAGGCGTGTCGCTTAACATCAGGCGCACGACTTGTTCGTCCTGTCATTTGGTATCATAAAAATAAAAGTGATTGTTGTAAGTTGCAGTGTCGTTCAGAACTTTAGCAAAGAAAAAAAATCGCAACCATTTGACGGGCACTGCCACTGCGCCCGTTACCATGAGACATGAGTTGACAAGTCCTATGTGCCAGTAATTTCACCACCACCCCTTACTCTGAAAATAAGTAAGGTTCTCTATCACAAGGAGCTCTACTGCTAGTAAAAAATATACTAAAATATATATTGACGCGACGAACAAGTAATGGTTAACACAATTATTAATACAAAGATCGACCACTCAAAAAAAAATTCCTTCGACCCGATGTCTTCTAGCATTTCGTGCCAGACGCTATACCAACTAAGCTGACGAAATATCCTAGATTTCTCATAGATGGCGCTACGGCTAAAAAGTCGTTGAAAACCAAATATAAAGATCCGACAACAAGCACATAGAAAACATTCGTGAGGTCCGCTAGAAGACGTCGGTCCGAATCCGGCCGGATCGAAGGAATTTTTTTGAGTGTTCGATCTTTGTATTAATAATTATAACAAACTAGTGGAGTAATTTCACATAAAAATACTTGAATATCAATTCAATAAGAATTTAGATAATCTCACCTTTCCTCTGCTTCCTGAAGGACCCTGGTGGCAACTGGCACCTCTTGTTAGCCATGAAATGCGACCCAGCAGCGAAGACCAAGTCTTCGAGTTGTAACACTTTTCGTGAGCCAGTAACTTGGCCCGATGTTTCACTGTGCTCGGTTTCTGTCTTGTGACGTTTGCGAGGGGCCTCTGATTGCTGTGCTATCTAAAAAATAGTGAAATTGATTAGAATGGCAATTGAAACTTTTCGTTGTTAAATTTCGTGTATTTTATACTATGGTCTCGGTGATTCTGTTGACCGTTTGGAGGGATGGTCCTGGGTTCGATTCCCGTAGAATGTGTGCATAATTTATATATAATGTCATAGCCAGTTATCTCTTTAAACATAATGTAACAGAATTATTTTTTCAATCAACTTGCTGTTGAATATCGACAGAAAAATCTTGTTGAAATAATAAAAATGAATATATTTAAGTTAAATATCAATAAATGGTAATTTGACTTACAACAATTTACGTGGGAGGTATCGAAATGTATTAAACTAATAGGTAAGTAAACGACCGAACGAGGAAAAGTACGACCAGCATAAAGGTAAACTGTTATGTTAGAACAAATTTCTTATCTATGAAAATTAACAACAAAAACAATTAGATTGGACCTCAATTCCAATATCAGTCGAGATTAAGTATTATTCCAAATGAAATGTCAATAGCAAACAATTCGTCGATACGATAGTTGGGGCCGATTCTAGTTTAAAAACTACGGTTGTGTGACACGCGTGAGAAAAGTTTTTATTTGCCGCCATTTCACATCACAGAGTGCTTTTAATATGTGCGTAGATAAAGCAGTGTATGTAACTGTGCACAATTAAGCATTAACTCACGCGTGAGATGTTTTCTCGCCTGTCGGCTCGTTTCATAAGCCCTCACTCGTATTTTAATGCCTTTCATTATGTAACAGTGACATAAAGTATTATAAAATATATTTAAAAAATGTTCATCGTACAAAACTCAGCACACGGTAAAACAAATATAGAGGAAAAGCAATCATTTTAAGTTTACCGACAGTGACGTAAATACAAAAAATTTGTCACACATTAACGTCCATTTCACAAAATACATGAAGACAGAGTGAATTTCCGAAAACGCTGTACGCATATGGCATGTTATTTTTCTAAATTAATTATGTTATTTATGTTGTGCTTATTTAATTAGCGTCCATATTTTTTATTTTTTATTTTCTTTTTAATTTTATTTGTTATTTGGGCCTTTTCCAGTGCAATACGCTTTTAAGCATAAATTCATAATATTGTACTCGTAACATGTATTGTACTGAATAAAGGACAATCTCCCATATAAATTTTTGTTGACATAATTTATATGCGTCTGTTTATGAAAAATATGTGAAAATATATAGTTGAAATTCTTGAATAAATTTTGTTTTGGGTTAATAGAAGCGGAATGGTGCCGTGAGTTTGGGACGTGACGAAAGTTCAGAAGAAATTATTTTGTATACTGATATGGTCAACAGACATGAAGTTAAGCCGTAACAAAAAAAACGGAGTTAATTAATAATACACCACACCACTAATGCTCTGGTAACTCGGACACCGTGCGGTGACGGATTAGAATACAATTCACCGCCCCTCTCTTCCCGTGGGTGTCGTAAGAGGCGACTAAGGGATATTGAGCAACCAGCTGCTCCACTGGTGGTAGGGCTTGAAAACCCGCCTGGTTAGTGACCACCGTGCGCATGATGGAAAACCCGCCAAGTGTTCGCTAGTCGGATGCGTTCCGGGATCAGTCAGCGTACAACCAGAGCCCGAGGCAACGCTGCCGCGACATTTGTGGTCTGTGGAGGCTTCCGCCGAACCAGTGCCAGGACAACTGCATTGACCCGCCGGCCAGGGAGACCCGTAGAAACGGTTGTTCCGCTGGCCGCCCGCGGTACAGTACAGGGGCCCAAGCGTGCTTAACCAGCTCTGAGGCTGCCTCACCATGCCGCGCATAATCTCGGTGTGGTTCGTCGTGCCGGTTGGCGACCGGGAGGTGGGGTCCCGGCGGCCATTCCCGGGGGGATTCGGGGGCCCTTCCGTCCGGCGGCTCAGCGCAACTTGTCTGTAGGCAAGTCTCTGGGGAAGCAGGCCCCGCGATTTGACCGCTTGTGTCGCGGCACTGCACTGTGATTCCCCCATAGGCCATAAATCAAAAAAAATCATTGGCTTATCCCGGTTAGATCAACTCACTAAGTTAGTAACTAGTTAACAAGCTTCCAAAAACTATAAATATCAATGTAATTAGGTCACGTTATCATTCACTTTTGTGCATCGGAAGTGAGCGCATCGCGAGACTAATTATCACCACGTGTGAGTCATCGAAACTTAATCACTTTGTTTTTGAGTGTCACTATTCCAAATCAAGTGTTTACGTGTTGTGAAAGCATGGAGATCCAAGAGCATGGTATGTACTTTTATTATCAATTTTTTTTAATTTTTTTTATGCATATTTTTTTTTATATAATTTTTTTATTGAAGGCAGTTTTTTGGTGAAAATTTTTGGCATAACTTAATTTCCTTTAGACCTACAACTTTTGGCTGCGCTGAGCTGCACCTGAGGTATATGGTTTTTGAATAAGGAGTATGTCCTTATTAAGAGCTATAAGTTTCATTTGCATCTTGCTGCCTCTTCTTGGCTTAAAGGGGTGTCAAAGTATGCATGTCCATAGTATTGAATTTTTAATTTTTTTTTAAGTTCAGCTTTCATATTGTTTTAGGTACATTTTTCAAATGTTCTGTATCGAGGATGACAATTTTTGATATTTGGCACTCTAAAGTGGGTAATCCAAATGAAAAAATGCAACACGTCCTGAGCACTTTGACCGAAACATCATCCCTTTCTGACGACATCGAAAATATTGATTTAGAGACTTTAAGCCTTAAAATTAAGAATATTTGTAAACGAATTTCCCACTACTGGGCAAAGTCGAATCGTACTAGATCTAAATTCTTAGAAAAATATTCAGATTGGCTGCATGTCGTTGAAAATATTGATGTACAGCGAACTGAGTTACGTGTATCTCAGAGCTTTGACGAAGTTAAATCAACTTCTTCATCGCATGGCCGTCCGAGAATTAACTTTGACGACACCAGTAAACGTACAAAAAGGAGAAGATTGGCTAGTTTGTCTAACCAAGACCCTTCTCTTGTACAGTCATTGCTCAATGCGTCCGATAGCTTGTCTTGTCCTGAAATCGATTCTAGCGAAGTTTTATCGCTCATTGTTGAAGCTCAGTTAACTCGACATCAATATATATTAGTAAAGAAATTTATAGACAATAAGTTTTCAAAAACCATTTTCCCATCTTACCAAAGTGTCGTGGAATCTAAAAAACACTGTTATCCTTCAGATATTACTGTTACAGAATCATCCGCCGAAGTCGAACTTCAAAGTTTATTAGATCATACTGCCAATCGGATTCTCAAGTCTCAAAAAGATGTTTTGGATAGTGTACCTAATGAGTCTCTAGATAAGATATCTTTGATAGGGAAATGGGGTTTCGATGGCAGTACAGGGCATTCAGAATATAAACAGTGTTTTTCTGACTCCACTCTTGAAGCCGTAGCCTGTTTGTTACTTCGTATGTGCCACTTCAGCTTGTTTTGACAACAGATAACAAAGAAAATTCAGTAGTTTTGTGGAAAAATCCTCGTCCTTCATCAACTCGATACTGTCGTCCTATACGCCTCCGATATTTGAAGGAATCGACTGCAGTGTCAGTTGAGGAAGAAGCTCATTTTAAAGATAAAATAAGGAACTTGCAGCCTACTGTTTTCAAGGAAGAAGATCGCGAATATCGCATTACTCATTGTTTGCAACTTACTATGGTAGATGGTAAAGTGTGTAATGCACTTAGTGGTGTTTCTTCATCAAAATGTTTTATTTGTAACGCCTTGCCCAGTGAAATGAACAAAATTGACGAATGTTTAAATAAGGAAGTCGATGAGAGTAAATATGAATTTGGTTTATCACCTCTTCACGCGTTAATACGTTTTTTTGAATATTTTGTTCATGTCGCGTACAAGTTAGATGTTAGGAAATGGCAAGCTAGGTCCGCTAATGACAAAATGCTTGTTGCTGCAAAAAAATCATATGTTCAGACTCAATTTAGAGAAAGATTAGGGCTTATAATGGATAAGCCTAAAAGTGGCGGAAGCGGAACATCAAACGATGGTAATACAGCCAGGCGGTTTTTCTCGAATTCAGAAATTTCCGCTGAAATTACTGGGATCAAGAAGGATCTCCTAGATCGTTGCTGGATCATCCTTCAATGTTTAAATTCGGGATATAATATTAATAAGACGAACTTCGAAGAGTTCGCTTTAGAGACGGCTCGGCAGTTAGTTGCCGAGTATCCGTGGTATAACATGCCTGCTTCCGTTCACAAAGTTCTAATTCATGGTGCTAATGTTATAGATTACGGTTTGTTGTCAATCGGAGAGTTGTCTGAAGAAGCAGCTGAAGCGACTAACAAATACATCAAGTCTTTTAGAAAAAATCATACGCGTAAAATGAGTCGCATTGTGACCAACACAGATTTAGTAAATAGGCTGCTTCTTCATTCAGATCCCTTCATAACAGGTCTACGAAAGTTACCTGTTAAAAAAAAAGGTGTACTGTCAAAAGCTGTATTAGACTTGTTATGTATTTAAAGTTAATATTGTTGAGATTTAATGTATTTTGGTATAATTTGTGTTTTGTTTGTATTTTGTAAAATGAACTTTTTTATGTATTTTTATTGTTTTAATTTATTCATTTGTGGTTATTGTTAATACAAATAATCATTATTTACACAGTTTTACCATTAAAAGTCGCAGTATAAAATGTTTTAGATACATCGTCTAAAAACAAAATTACTGCGAGACATTTTTACACCTAAATATTGTCAAATATTTTTTAAAATGTATAATTTTATTAATTTACGTTTACCTAATCATATTTTAACGTAATAAAATAAAAAAATAATAATAATTTCGGAGTTACGTATTTATGACCGCCTTAGTATGGAGCGTGAATCACCGTGCACTGTTTTCTCGCTTCACGCCTCTTTTTTCCTCCAACATGTTAGCGCAAAGTACAAATTTCGGTCGTACAGCGGTGCACACCCCCACCACTAAAGCGCTCTTTAAGGTGGAGTTCACGAACATTC